TCTTTAAGAGGAGGCTAGATGAACACCTTGCTGGGGTTTTTGACCCCAGTATGTTTTCCTGCCATGGCAGGGCGTCAGACTTGATGATCTGCTCATGTCCCTTCGAACCCTACTAACTATGAAACTATGAAATGCTCTGTTCAAGACTGTGTTTGAATGAAGAAGTTAATATTTTGCACAGCTTTTAAACACACATCTGCATTGTGTGTTTAAAAGCTGTGTTTAAACACATATCTTCATAACATGATTTCCCATTTTACTTTCTTCATGTGAAATAAGAGGTATGAATGTTTTGTATTACTCAAATATGATCTTTTGAATATATTTGCGCATAGCTAATTAAAATGCTCAGGGCAGTTTTCAGTCAAACAAATAAATTTTTTCATTCTCTGATTAACTGTTGCTCTATAAACCAAGTGTGAAACCACACAGAACAGGACACTCTTATGATGTCTGCATTTCTGAAGTATTGATACAAATTTAAGGTACCATAATCTGCATGCCACTGAGATTTCTCTTGCCGAGATGACTGAATTCTCTTACGCCCCAACCAATTTCTCCAGCATAGCAATGTCTGTGGGCTGGAACAGTAGGATTGTGTGAAGACGGCCTCAATAGATAATCAAGATCACTTGTGCCTTCTAGTGCTGGAGATGTCGCTCCTATGTAGCGTGTATAATCAGGCTGCTTTGTCCTGTAATCCCATAGAGCATCTGGGCCTTGGAAACACAGAGAATTAAAAATGTGGTTATAAAAAGTACAAGGCTTACCTTGTTTACTAGCCTATTTCAACATGTTTTGTTCCAGCCCTGTTTTTTTTTAATTTACTTTAATGCAGCAATTTTAAAAATCAGGGGTGCCCATGCCACAAAGGCACGTGGCCTGTGAGGCAGTAATGCACTGCTCCTGTGCTCCTACCTCGCTGTCACACTCCCTATTGCTCCTGGGGTCTCTATTCTCCCCTTCTCTTTTTCAGCTTTTGCTTCTTACTCTTGTGTCATACGTTAGGTCCCAAATGCTAGTGTTGGGCAGCTGAGGCAGATAGCTGGGAATCATTTATAAATATTAGGAAAAGTTACTGTAGCAAAATGTCTAGCTTGATGAACAGGGACTACAGCAGTGAACTGCTTGACTGCTGTGTGCTAGTCCCTACTGGGAAGTTAATGTGTATTATGCTGAAGTAGGCAGACAAGGTTCTTTGGGTGAATCTGATATCTTTTATAAGACCAACTGAAATAGTTGGAAAAAAACATTTTTAAAGCAAGCTTTCGGGTTCAAAAACCCTTTGTCAGGCTGAGGAAGTTTCAGCAGTTGGTGTGTGCTCTTCCTGGATGGAATGAATAGTAAAGAAGTCAGAGGCTGGGCTGGTGTGCATGCAAGACACAGTCAGTGAAGATGTAGATTGAGGAGTCAGTGGGTGAGAGACAGGCTGGGTGAGGGGAAGAGAAGTATGCTGAAGTATGAATTTACAGAGCATTAGTGATTATTCCACATTCATTCCCTATGTGATCTGTCTCCGTGGGGACATCTACATGAGATGCTTACTGCACAGTAGCCTAATAACACAGCACAGTAGCATGCTGGGCAAAAGCAATGCTAATACACTACTGCTCAATGTTATTAGGCTACGGTTCAGTAAGCATCACTAAAAAACCTTGTGCGAGTGCTACTGTGCGGTAGTATGAGTTACTGTGCATTGAATTAGTACTTGGTAACCCAAGCATTAAACTTAATGTGCAGTAACAACAGTGCAGTAATGAGCATGTAGATGCACCCAGTGTACACTTACTGCTGTCTTACTCCAACTTAAAAGTGGGGTAGTTTTCCTTATTTTTACTGTGATCTCAGAGTGTCCATGTACAGAGTGAATCACAGTGTAACTGCCAAGCTGTAAATTCATATTCTGTCCACTTCCCCCTGGAGGTGGGCCCTGAGGCTCTGCATGTGCTTTAGAAAGTCACTTAAACTCATTGTTCCTCAGATCGTTATTGAGGGGATTATCACCATCTCTCAAACTGGGAATAATAAACTGCTTTTGAAATACATATTTGAAACAAAGTGTTAGATATTCTTGTATTTAGAAGATTATCCTTGCAACAAGAGGAGCTAGAAACATACATAATAATAAAAAATTGCAAGCTGAGATCAATACTAGTACATTTAAAAGTCCCAAATGCTGATGGTTCTTTGCGCCTTTGAAGGGTCATAAGGCTGGTTCTGCCTAATGGCCAATTAAAATAGGGCGTAGCTATCTACAGTAGATGGGACCTAATCATATTATTTTAGCCACATTCTTTGGCAGGGTAATAGGACTATTTGAAGAGCACTTTCCAAAATATGGTTCAATTGCATGCAGTGGGGGACTGTTTAACCAGCTTTGGGAACCCACACCACTATGATGTTCACATTGTATCAATGTTTCAGAGGATAGCTGCATCAGAAGGAAATACCATAACTGAAAAATTGTTTGTTGGGTCTTTCTGTCTTTGTGCTTAGATATGGTTAATATAATTATGTTTCGGCCTCTAAGTGGTCTCAAAGAAGTACAGTAAAGGAAGAGGAAGGAATTGAGGAAGGATGAAGGAAAATAAAAGAGAGTAAAAAGGGAAGAACTTTATGATAGGATGGAACATTTTAGCATGTGATTCAGGTATGGCTATGAGTAGAGAGGGCAATAAGTGAGAAAACGTGATATTATCTACTGGAGTTTAATTGTCATAATATAATACAACAGAAATGGATGCCCCTATCTTAGAGAACTAATTTCCAGCTATCGTGTGTTGAGTCCCTAATATTTCTTTTGGCTTTATTCTTGTTTGTCAACTCTGCCAATGATATTAGTACTCCATTAAACATTTCAGCTTAAAATGTATTTTTTTTCCCAAATACAGTTTTGTTGTCTAGATTTCAGAGGAACCAGTTTCTTTAAATAATCCATAGAAATTCCATTGGTATAAATGTTGCTTGTTACTGTAAGATTCATTCATTGTAATGAACATACTCGTTTTTCATAAAGCAAAAGTTGTACTGTCAATCTTTCCTTTTAGAATGAGGAAAACAATAGCCAAAGTACGAGCAATTATAAACTCTGTGTGAGTGAGAAAGCAGGTGGATTGTGTCTTTCACTCTGCAAAAGCCTTCATGCTGAATCCTGAGGGAATATCCTTCTGTCATATTGCTCCAGCTGTGATCAGCAGAGGCACTTGAGCAAGATCCCCCTTGTTATAAATGAGAGGAAACTGTCAGCAGTACATTCCCTGTGGGGATCTGACATCTCTGGAACGTGTTCCAAAATAGCCCAATGCTGTGACCTACTAGGCACAATGAAAGATACATTTGTTTGATTGGCTTTTTGGATAGGAAATAACGGTACATCCCCAGAATGACAAAGGGGGAATGGGGCTTCTGAGTTTTGAAGCAGCTGGCAAAGTTCCTTTGGAAATAATTAGTTATTTAATGCTGCTGAGGATTTGCGTTTCTTTTGTTTGTTGGCAAAGTGATTAACTGGGTCAGAAATGTCAGTTCTGTAGTGACTCTTTTTAACCTGGTTTGTTAAACAGTGTGGGTGGGTCCTCACGTGCAGGGGTGCCACTTATAGAGGCACAAATAGCAGCGGCACAAATTTGTGCCACTGCTTTGTTCCTCATTGTATGCCCCTGAATGTGTGCTTCAGCACACGGGTTAGGGGTAGGGGAGGCTGGGGCCAGCACCTGGTGGTCTGGTGGTTTGCTGGAGCAGCAGGGGCAGCACAGAGGCCTAGCCAGAGCATTGCTCTGGATGGCCTAGCCTCTGTGCCAGCAAAAAGTTGCTTTGCATGAATTGCGCCACTTTTTGTTCTGGCACCTTTTTTTTTTTTGCTGCTGGGATTGCCCTGTAGCAATTTTCGCCACCACACTGCAAGCACAGTGCACATTTGACATTCCCCGTGTGCAGTTTGTGGCACTGCATGTGGGGACCCGCTCTGTATGTCCAACCCCATAACTTACCAAAGGAGGTGTCCTGATGAGCTATTTTTGATTAATTCCATGTGCGAATGTTTTTAGTCTGAAATAAGAGTACCTGATTTCTGTTTAGCTGGAACAAGGATCTCTCATTCCAGAATAAGTGTGTCCACACATGGTATTATTCAGGAATAGTTATCACACACCCAGGCTTAATCAGAAACAACTTTGAAGTGTGGACAAGCCCAGCTAATATTCCTGACAATACCTGTTGCCTTCAATAAGAGTTGACAAAGGAGCTCAACAGCTCAGAAAACTGGGCCTCGTGCCCAGGTACAGAAAACTAATGATAAAACTGCCTACTGCTTATTCTTTCCTTAAAATAATGAACACATCCTTATAACTGCATTACTTCTTTAAAATTAATTTGTGATGCTAGGAATTGACAGACACTGAAAAGTTAATGTCTAATAGAAACTTTACTGTGTTATATATCACTACAGCCTGTGCCTGTGTACACCAGTTAAACCTGATAATCCTTTGTAATTATTTTTTTATTGTTAGTTTTCCTCCAAAGCTAAGAGCATAATTCCAGAATCATTTTAGGATATGCTCAATTCTTGGCACTTGCATAAACTTCCTTTGGACCTTGGACAAGTCAATAAGTTTCTCTATACCTCAGTTTCCATCACAGGGGAATGAGGATGTTTTTGAGAATAAATACATGAAGACAGTGTGGGGCACTCAGATACAACGGTGAAGTGCCACATATTTAAGATCGATAACTGCCTCTCAGATCTACTGTCTGTGCCCATGGGTGCACTATGATGTCTTTTTCGTGCTGTTTTTATTTTCTTGAGCTTTCCCCATCAACCTGATTCTCAAAACCTTATCAGAGCCTGGGGCTTGAACAAAGCAGAGGAAATGGAGAAGTAGAAGTTAACTTTAGTATTCAACCACCTGCCAGCAGTCCCTCAAGCAGTCACCAAGGCCCTCCACAACAGAGGCTGGAATGATATAGTACAGGAATGAAGGAGTCATGTTAGGTCAGTTTTATTGTACAGTTGCTCTGGTTTATCTTCCTTGCTTCCTGACAAAACAGCTTCTAAGTCCATTTGAAGGATAACTTTGACCTTTGGGCTGTCAATCATGTCAGGAGACATAACAGTTGAACAATCAGAATTCCTGTAACATAGCTGTGGAGGTGTATGGGCATGTCATTTTAAAATTAGATCATACCAATATGATGCCAGGAGATATTTTTTAGATCAGAAATAGACAATTTACTGTAGAAATAATTTCTGTTTGTTTTACCATTTTAAGGTGACTTATTTTTAGTCAGAAGGCAGGGGAGTCTGTCTGATTTCCGACTACCATGGCTAACCACCTCTATTTTAAGCTAATCACATAGCCTTGAAATCACATGAAACTGAACAGTGATAGGAAATCCAGCTAGAGTATTAGAAAACTGAAATAAGGATTTTCATATTTTATACTAAGCACTGTATAATGCATATGAATATTATGTTAATCTTGAATAAATTCACTAGGCTCTAAGTCTGCATTATACAGTTAAAAGCAATAGCACCCAGCAAATTATGATGTGAAGTTTATTTCACACTTTACTTGCACTTCATTGCACTGTGTCACTAAAAGCAAACATGCACATTAAGCTGGACTAAAGCTGTGATTAAGCTGTCTTTGATGCTTTAAAAATAACCTTGACTATTACCCTTGTATCAAAATTGCCTGACAGTAATCATTTACTGTGCTACTAG